AAGGCTTAGCTTTAATTAAAGTCTCAGCACAGTGTTAAATGCCATTTTATTTTAGTTCATAATTAACACTAATGAGATGAGCTGATCACAAGCCGCACACATCTTGAGAAAGAGAAAAACAGCATCCGAGCTCAGTGGTTTCCGCTTTTGCCCACCCCACCCCGCGTGCTATGTTCAATTAAAAGTTTCGAGAAAATATTGCAACTATGCTCCTTGTCTTTGTGTTAATGAAGCATATTAATTTGAGTGTGATGAATACAATATTCCACTGACTTTTTATTCCCTTATCTACAAAAGTTTAAAATAATGGGCCAATTAAATCAGGGGAGAAGAATGCAGGGTTTGCCCAGGGCTCCAATTCAGCAACCCAACAACCTAAGGAACAAAAATTCGAGGTTGCATCTGAGCCTGATTCCACCACAGCTGACAGACACTAACTCATATGGACAGATGTGGACCAGGACAAAACATATACTGTGTCCCAGATGAAGAAACTGGTTCTAGGCTACCCTACAGTGTTGTTTTCTCTCAATAGTGATTGGATAGATACATGGATGGATGGAGAATTGAACCAGATGACCTGCCAAGCTCCCATTTTTCCCAAAGTAGTAAATGAAGTATCTATGTGTCTATGTGACTTCCAAAATGAGAAAGTTAGAGGCAGAGTGTACAGGTGAGGGTCAGTTCCCTGACTCTAGAAGTTAGAGGCAGAGTGTACAGGTGAGGGTCAGTTCCCTGACCCTAGACGTTAGAGGCAGTGTTTTCAAGTCCAGGCTAGTTCTCCAGCTCTTTACTCTAGGGCAACATCTATTTGTTACAGAATCAGTCTGAGCTTAGCTCCTGCCCACGAGATCTCCCCTCTCTGAAGTAGAGGCCTCCTGAATGCAACTGGCTTCTGGAAAGGCCGAGCCTCCCCTCCCACACACTGCATTGGAAGCAGGTGTCTTAGAGCAGGTCCGTGAACCTGGCACGTAGCCCAGGTAGCTCCCTAATGACCTCTGGAGGGCTGCCCACTTCCACGTGTCCCTGTAATCACCAACTCAGCCTTGCCACTGTGACATTTGGAGCAATTTGTATTGCATACTATCTAATTTCTATGTGCCCTGTTTCCCTACACTGTTCTCTGCCTTGTGGACATTCTAAACACACACACACACACACACACACACACACACACACACACACACACACACACACACATACACACACACACACAGGCTACAAACCCATTTTCTCAGCCTAAAAATAAAAATCCTTTGTATGGTCCATGGTGCTCTGTACATCTGTCCTGCATGCAAAAGCCCTCCCAGCTCTATCTGTTGCCATGGCTCCTCTGTCTCTATCCACTCCTAAACACCTTTCCAACTTCAACCCCCAGCTTCCTCAGGTCCTTTATGAGTGCTTTTGGTTTAACGTCCTTGCCTCCCCCCCTCATCTAATTAATGTTTATTTACCGGCCACTCTTAACTCAAAACATCACGTCAAGGAAGGCATCTGGAATTAAACTTCTGACACCAAGTCTACCCAGCCTGTGTTTGTCTTGGGGTTTATACTGCCACCCCTCTGAGTAGCTTTCCTTCACAGAATTGTCACAGCCAATTGTCACAGAGCTGTGCTATCACTTGAGTCATGAATGTCTCCCCAACTAGGCCATTTGCAGTAAACCATCTAACTCTGGTGCTTAACACAGAGACTGGTTCATAAAAGATGCTCAGTACATAGGCACTGCATGGATGGACTGATTAATTAGTTAATGCCCAATTCAAAAGCTTTGCTCTTAGGCCAGAGAGATGGCTTGGCAGTTTAGAGCACTCTTTGTTCTTCCAGAGGACCAGAGTTTGGTTCCCAGCACCTACCTACATAAGGCAGCTTAAGATCACCAGCAGTTCCAGCTCTTAGGTATTGGACAACTTCCTCTGGCCTCCACAGACACCTATACACATAAACTTTAAAAATAAATTTAGTTTTAAAGAGAGCTCTGCACTTGTTACTTCCCTATACCGCTTTCAGTTTTGGACTTCATCCCTGAAGCGCTTACTTTGTGTTAGGCTTTATGTTGGGAACTTAAACACCTTCGCTCAGTCTTGCTCTCAATCAGCTGGCTGTGTAACAAGAGTCACATGACTACTCGCCAACAGAACAGTGTGTCATGTTCTCTAATGGGCATAAGCATGGTGCTTGCTGGAAGCAAGAGGAACCCTCCTATGTCTCACTGGGAGGCTTCACAAAGAACACAGCCTTTAAGCTGAGCCTGAAAGGAAAAGGTGGCCGAGAAAATCCAGGCAGACTCAGCGTTTCAGCTGACAGACCCCATGCCGGAAACTTGGAAGGCAGGGACCAATTTTGGAAGAAAAGCAGCCAGGGTGACGACCAAGCCCAGCAGGGAGGGGCTGGGGAAGGAAGGCAGGGAGGTGCCTTGCACCAAGAACCCAGAACTGTCAGCAGCAGCTAAAGATAGCAGCCACAGAGACTGGGTAGAAAGGCCTGACTGTGAGATCTCAAATTTGAGGAGCTCCCTCTGGAGACATTGCAGAGAAGAGCGTTCACATTTCAAGTGGGGGGACTCCAGCTCTGGGGAGACCAAGGTGGCCTCGCACCTCTTCCCACCCAGAACCTAAACTGTCTTTTTCTTAGGGGGCTCAGTGTGGCTGACCTTGCTCATTCATTGCAGGGAGAATTCATTTCAGGGTGGGAAATTTTTTAAAAAGTACAAGATTAAGCAGTGTAATCAGCTGCTGCTGAGAATTGGAAATGCAATAAATAATAATAGCGTTGAGAGCTGTTTTTAATAACTCACCAGTGTAATTTAGCCTCTGCTTCTTGGAGCATATGTAAAATATGTCAGAATGGGTGTACTGGCAAATGCCTCATTGCCAGCCTCTGAAGACAAATGTCTTCCCAGGAGGGAGGGGGATGGAGGAGAACTCAGAGGACTGCTGAAAATGAGATGCAGGGAGGCAGGCATTGTTCATGTGGACTCTGCTAATTCCACACTGTGACCTTTTGCCCAGGTGACAGGTCTTGATGGGTTGTCTTCAAAGGTGGACAGGTTAACAGCAATAACACTAGAGAACAGGACTTCTAATCCGAGGGAAAATGAGTTGCTTGCGGATCACTATTTGTGTGCCATTGGTGCTCTGATTAACAGTCATTCTGGTTTGTCTAGTACAGCAGGTCCCTAGGGATGGAGTACCATGGCCGTATTTGCCTTACTTTCTTGAGTTACTGAATACTTCTGCAACCATTGAAATCTGTTGTTCCAAGTGTTTGGTGAATTCTAACTGCCAGCAATCCCTGTGGACTGCTCCACTCACTGGGGTCCAGATTGTCATAATGGAGCTAGGAGTCTTCAGCTCTTAGGAAGACAACTGACACCCTTGAAATGAAATGATCATTGTCAGACAATGTTCAAACTTCAGTCTGGCTGCCTGACTACCCCACGGGGTGAGGAAGTTGACTGTGACACCTGGCACTGACAGTCACCTGTCACTTCATCCCCATCCCAATACTGTGATGTTGCTTATCAGGGACTCCATCCTTCAGATGAGGAAACTGGAGCTTGGGTATTTTCTCAGGCAAGAGCTAGAATGTAATTGTCCTTGGGGCCTGACTGCAGTTCCATCTGACTTTCAGAGCCTATGTCATCAAGCTGTGCAACCCTCTCCTGCCAATTCATACAGTTAGGGGGAGATGCCAGAAGCCGTGTGTGTAGTTTTCAGCAATCGATAGAAACTGGTAAATGACCCTTTAACTGCAGGACATGGTTTCTCTTCAACATCTGCGTCTTTGTCAAGGTCTTAGTAGTGTCCTGTCACTGACCATCCTTGTCCGGGCCACTCTGTGCTCCTTCAAAGCCTCAGGTTTGCGATGTACAAAGTGCGTTTTACTAGTCGAAGTGTACAGTAGGTAAATGGCTTTGGAGGGTTAATTGGCAATAGCTCGTGAATGAGAAAACACACCTGTGAGGCAGTCATCCCGTGGGTGTGCTCTGGAAGGCAACTTCTCCCACCTCTGCACGTGTTTGGGGGCCAATATTCTTTGTTGTGCTGCGGGGCTGCTGTGTGCATCTGGGAACTGCAGCATCTCCGGCAATTTCTTCCTATGAAGCAAGAAATGAGGGAGAAGGAAGAAATGTGAGAGGAAAGGAGACAGAGGAGAGGCCCCTAGTTAATTAGCTTAAGCCGGAACGTAAGGCTGGGTTACAAATGTGTGCATTGTCTTGGAATTTCTGCTGAAATTCTGACAGAGCCCAGAGCCCTCCTGAGAAAGCAGAGGAGGAAATGTGGAAACAAGCCAGTGGATATCCAAACACCATTACTCGATGGTTACTTCAACTGACAACAGCCAAATTTTGCTCAGACTAACACAATAACGAACCACTGATGAGCCACACAAATGCTGGCGCTCACTGATGGTTGTGCTCAGTGCCTTTTCACTGTCGGTGGAAGCAGAACTCTGCTCTCTGTCCTGTTTTAATCCAGAACCCATAGCTCTGCTCCTGGGCCTGGAGCCAAAGAAGGAGAGGCAGACGTTGAAGAGATTAAAAAGGGAGATGTGTTACAGGCTACAAGTTTGGAGAACTGGTTCCTGACCATTCATTCCAAAGGACAGGGGACCCTGAAAACAAGGCCCAGGCTTCTTCTAATTTGACTTCCCTGATACCTGCAATGAGATTTCCCCAGGATTTTTTTTTAAACTGCAAGGGCCGAAACCAGCAGGCTTCTCTACAGTGGTCCCCCTTCCCTCTCCTGGGTCTCCATGGAGCCAATTATCAACAAGAAGATCCTAGTTGAGAACTGGCTCCTGAGGAAATGGGAATGGAGGGTAGGAGTAGGGTTGTGGGAGAATGGGGTGGGGGGTGATGGGGGTGGAAAGTCAGCCCAGCCAGACTCAGGGAAAGGTGCCTAAAGCAAGGCACCTCTTCCCAGAGACAGGATTCTGAAAGAGGACTGCTAGCTGTCCGCAGCCTGTCTAACATTGCACCGTTATGTTGACACCAGCAAGATCCGCCTTGATTGCTGCCATAATCAAGACAACAGAGGAAAGCTGAATGGAGTCGAGCGTGCCGCCTGCTGCATGGGAGCCAGGCACAGGTAGCTTCCCTCCCTTTCCCTTGCTGTCTTTTCTCAGCAACAAGTCATGTTGTGTCCTAACTGAAAACTTGATTAGGAACCATGGCACAGTATGTTTTTAACAGGGATTTGTTGAAAAGCAGAAATATACAAAGAGTTTTAAAGAGTTAAGCAGTAATAACTCCTAATGGGATTTTCTGATGTTGTGGACCTTCTGGTGTATGTAAGGCTTTTCTCCTTGTCTGTTCACAGTGTAAAAGATGCACACAGAACTTAGGGAGACAGGAACCAACTGAGCTAGGAAAGAAAAAGGGAGGAGGGAGAAGGAGGTAGGAAAAAAGGTAGACATCATTACTATATTATTGTACGATTACAATCATCATTAGAAAACTAATTTAAACAAGCCCAGACTGTGCCCCCAAAAGGGCACCAAGCAACGCGCTAGGCTCAAGAACACAGAAACCATTTTCTCATTTTGACTGGTGATGGGAATAATAATTATTTTTTTCTCTGAACCATAACCATTTTGCAGTTAAATAATTTGCTTTCAGGTCGAATCAGGGCTCTTTGGTGGTGCTCTGAGGAATTCTTTCATTTCTTTCGCACCTTTTAAAGAAAAGAAAACTCCAGGTGCAATTATTAGCATTATATTTATACCAACTGCAACAGAACATTCCAGAAAATGAGGTGCCTACCAAATTAGTTTATCCAAATGAAATTTAGACAGTACCTTAGCAGGGAGCATCAACTGAACAGTTGTCTCAGTGGCCCAAGAGCTGGAGAACCACTCAGAGAAGCGCATGCTAGCAGCAAGCCTCGTTGAGTCAAGAGCGTATAGGTGGAGTATTGCATGTGTTTTCAGTTACCCAAATGGATGGCTCCCTCCTGTGGGTCACTGAACCACAGGGTCCCTACATTAGCTTCAGATTACATAGCAGCAAGCTAGTTGGGGGATGCAGATGTAACTAGCTAAAATAGAATCTGATTTCACGACTGCTTGGGGCAGACACTCAGGCAGAGTTTAAGCAACAAATTATTCTCAGCTGAGAACATCTGCCTGGAAGGAAGAGTTGTGGCTGAAGAACAGAAATTCAACAACCCAGAGATTTCCAGAAGTCTGAAATATACCCGTTACATTCCCCAGATCAAAACCTGTCAACTATACAACTATGACTTGTCGATTCTGTTTGACAGATGAGAAAGCTTAGGGACCAGAAAGGAGGTGAGTGAATATGCACTTCAGTCAGTCTGGCATCCTCTTTGCTCCATGCTAGTCACTGTGTACCCAGGAGTGTGCCAAGTACCCCGTGGTACTGCCTTGCTTCAGTATTGCAATGGTCTTATGATGTAAGAGTTACTGTCCATACGTAAGGACACTGGATCTGAAAGTTTAAGTGAAGGCTGAGGTTATAGCTCAGTGGTACAGTGCACACCCAGACTATGTAAGGCCAGATGATTGATCCATCTCATGGAAATGAGAAAGAGAAGAGATTAAAGCAACTTGACCCAGGTCACCCATCTGCAAGGAGACAGAGTTAAAATTCAAACCCAGGGGCTCTATGATTATTTGGCAGAAATTCACTACTTGTAAGTATGGGCATCTTGGTTCCCAGGATTCCTGAGAGATCTCACAAAACACGGCAGGACCTGCGTGTCAGAGTGTGAGACCCATATTGGAACTCGGTCTTTTGAGGTATCAGAGTCAGAAAAAAGTCAGAAGCCTAGTACCTACAACCCATAGTCACCCAGTGAGCTTCTCTCACAGGATCAAGCCTTTGTTTCTTATAGCATATGCCTGCTAGTGTCGGACTGAAGACAGCCAGCAAGCTGAAAATTCTTGGCCAAAAATAGTGATTTGGGACAAATTAGTGAGAAAATTGTCAAGTTCTGTGCATGCTTAGATCGCCAATGTAAACAGATTTACATTATAAAATCCACTGGAAATAAGAAATGGCAATTTGCAAAATGAATTTCACAAATGGCCCAATGAGTGTGAAATTTTCTCATCAAGTAAAAGGTAGAGGTTTAAAGTGGGGGCGTGGGTAGGGGAAGCTCTGTACACAGCCATATGGGTGGGTGAGACTGCCATGGGAGAAGCCTTTCCCAAAGTCAGTGAGTCATGACGTCCTCACAAATACCAAGCCACAGACACAACTTTTATCAGCTGGATTTCTGGGAATGCTGCAGTCTTGGACTCAAGTGGGTGGAGCCCCATCCAGGAGACCTGAAATTCCCTCTGTTCTTCCTGGGGTTGAGGAAGAGTTCTGTGCGCACCTTGCAGTTTCTTGGAAGTAATAGTTTGATGTTTCTGCTGTCTCTAAAATTTAGAATTATGTGACAATCAGAAGGAAACTTTGCCTCTGAGTCCCTGGAAGTCTTTAAACTTTTACACAATGACAGTAGAGCAGAACGTGGAGCCACCATGTCCCCTTGCACCATTCATTCGCAGAGGACAGTGGCAAGCCATTAACTCTGGTTTCCTGCATCTCATAGATACTCAAAAAATATCTGGCAGTAGAATGAAGTGGAAATGTGTGCGATGTCAAATAGGGAAATAAGTGAAAGTGGGGGTGTGGCAGAATCCCAAGAGAGGCGGTGAGATGGAGCTGTCTGCTCAGAGCTCTCATGTAAGCACGCATGCGTGAGTCCGCAAAGATGAAGGCAGAGGCAAGAGGGTCTAGAGCAGCATGCTCTTAGGGGGCTGAGAGTTGCTAGAAAGGAAGCAACAAATAGAAGGAAAGTGACAGGTGAGGACAAGGCTCAGGCTAGAGAAGGCTGAACAAAGGGCTGGTTTACTGGAAACTTGGGGGTCTCACATGCCCATTGTCATGTCACATGCCTGGATACCCCAATCCTTGTGGGGTCACAGGCACTCACCCTCAGAGGGTAAAAAACATGCTTAAATAAGAAGAGTCTGCACGGGTGGATTGGTCCAGTTTCCATCTGGATTGGTGGTATCTGGAAGGGGATTGTGGCGTCTGGTAAACCAGAAGCAATGAGGAGAAGAAACTCTGGTTTACAACACTTGCTGTTTCTGAGGTATCAACGTTTCTACCACGCCCGTGACTGCCCTTTTAATTTAGGGAAAAACAGCTTTATAAGCTAGTACAAGATGACTCTAGGCACTGTCATTTGGACATGGTTTGGCTCCCAGCCATTCAGGTATTGAAGGCTTGGTCCCCAGAAGGACGATGTGGAGTTGGTGGAACCTTTAACAGTTGGGGTCTAGGAGGCAGTAATTAGGTCACTTGGGGCTCCCCCCACAAAAGTGAATTAATGCTGCCTGAAGAGCATGAGTCAGCTCTGGCCATAAAGGATTCTGAAACAACTTATTGTATCAAGAGCAAACCTGGCTGTCCAGTCTCTTGCTCCAGGTCTTGCCATGTAGCCTTTCTTGTTTCCACACACGCTCCCAATATCGAGATGCTGTCTCCTCTGGTTCCTTCACCAGAGTCAAACATGCAAATGACAAGAATTGTGAGCTAAACAAGCTTTTTCTTTAATAAAATGCCCCACTTGTTTTGTTAGAGCAACAGAAAACTGAATAGTACTCCAGGATACCGTTGTCCAGACACCAGTGAGGCTGAAAACAGACACGTAAAACTCAGATATGTGACTATTCCCCCTTTTAAAATAAGAAGAGAGCTGGGTGGTGGTGGCACACACCTTTAATCCTGGCACTTTGGAGGCAGAGGCAGGTGGTGGATGTCTGTGAGTTCAAGGCCAGCCTGGTCTACAGAGTTTGTTCTAGGACAACCAGAACTACACAGAGAAACCCTGTCTCAAAGAAAGGGAGGGGGGAGAGATTGGTACACACACTTAGTTATTACTATTATTTTAAATCCATTCTACAGATATGTGAGAAAAACTACAATATTGTTCACCCTTTAACCCAGTCCCTTAATTCTGTACAGAGGCAACCAAATTCACCAGTGATCACTATATCCATCTAGAAGTATTTTATGTGTATGCCAGAAGATGTATATCTGTTTTCAACATTAAAATGGTAATGTGAAAACAAACTTATTTTTCCATGTAATAATATCTTTTTAGAGCCCACACCCAAAGATACATAGGTGTGCCATATTGTTTTAATGGCTACTTGGCATTCTTTTTCCTCGTGCCCGATAGTGATAAGAATGGAAAAATTTTCAGTCCTTTTTTTTTTTTTTTCTGTAACCAGGTGAACAAAGAATATGTCTGTCCATGTTGGTGCATGTAGGTATTCATCCCTACAAATAAAATCTCTGCATGAAAGAAACATGTTCAGTTTTATTTAAATATTTGCATTCCTGCTGACAGTCCAAGACAGTGCCCTTCCTCACACAGTTGCCAACACAGTATGTCTCCAAGATGTGGCCCAGTGGTGCTTAGTGCATTCTGAGACCCTCATTCTAGTCTCTTGGTGAAGGTCAGGTCAGCTGAGCCACAGAGGAGTCTGGTCCCCCATGGAGGTGCAGCATCGTGCCAGAGTTCAGGTGTCTGTGAAGTCTCCAGTCTTCCCCCTTCAATGGGCTGGATACTTTCCCCCAGCCAGCTTACTGCTGGCGTTCTGTGTAAGAAGAGACTGAAGTCTGCACAGAACCTGAACGTTTAGAACAGCATCACTCATTTGCTTCCCTGTATTTTATGTCTGGATTGGCTCTTTCACTGTAGCCCTGGGATCACATGCTCAGCTTGACCACCACCTTAACTCCTGATACTGTTAGGAGACTGCCAGGAAACAGAGGTGACTGGGTGTGCCCATTTTATGGTAACGTTCTTGGTGATCGTTTCCATAATGTCAATGTTAGAATCGCCTGTATTCTGGAACCAGCTTGTCTGATTTTTCACTGGAAAAGTAAAGACAAATTGTTTGGGGAGGTGGAGGAGCTTTCATCTCTGGGTCTGGGATCTGAAGCAATCAGTGTCTGTCTTTAAAACAGTGTACACTGGCACACAAACCCCTGAATCCTTCAGAGAATATTCCATGAGGTGTTGCCAATTATTGTTTCTCTCTGCTAGCAGATGTTTAGGGGCTG